AAAAGTGATACAAAGTGTTAAAAAAAGTGAGTAAGGTCACTCCGTTAACTAGTTCGCCTGTGGGCGTCTTGTGAGAATGAATGCTGAATGCTTACACAATGCTGTGAATTTTTTCCCTTTTTTATGATATTTCCAATGGTTATTTTGGCCTCCACACCTTCCTTTGTTTTATTATTTATGCGTTTTATATTTCTTGTTTTGCTCTATTTTATTTCTCATGCTTTCAATGTAACAAAGTTTCTCACTCACACAATCGATATTGTTAGACGTGAGGCTAGTTGTCTGATAGAGAGGTCACCAGCCACCCAATTAAGGGGGGTCTCTCCCCAGGCGAGTGAGTGGATGGGCGAGGAAGGTGTGAAGTAATTACAATTGGACACAAATTGGCTCACCCCTATGCCCTACCAGTTGAGTGTTTGAACCAGCGTATTTCCTTTTACCCTTGGGAGCTACTGGGTATTCCTAGAGGGAGACCTCAGAAACCTTTTAATTGCGAACTGTGCCATTAACTCCTTTGAATGTCTTCAATCATCCAGTCTTACTTAGTATTATGAATCCTTTTCCAGTCCTTATCTTCCGCAAGTGCATTCCTCAAGGATACATTCGGTAAAGGCAAGGACAAAGCCGCAGAAATCAAGGATGAAACCGAAAAGGTGATTGTAGTCTCCTTCGAAATTTCTACATAATAAACTACGACACTCAAAACACCTTGCTTCAGAAAGCCGAATCCGCTGCTGATTCGATGAAGGATATGTTCAAGAATGCCCAAGACAGCGCCAACAAGGCTTGGGATGATACTGGAAAGGTGAGCTTCATTCGTACTGTGCTTATTACTTTCTCTCACAGCAGTGAAATCAAAGAATGCAGAATGAGTTCGGTGAAGAAATGGTTCTGGGCCTTTTAATTGGAACGATGTTGATTTCTCAAGCAACAAGATGCGTTTTAGCATTAGAAAAGGCCAAGGTTGGAACAAATAAATGGTCAAACTCGTAGCAGTGCAGTGTGAAGTTCTGTATGGTGGATGTACTCAATTAATTGTCATAAGCCCGACTGAAATCTCGTCCAAACACGTCTTCTGTCGTCGTAATCTCGTACAATCCCAGAAATGGAGAGATGTATTTTGAGGCTCCTCATTATACTAAATGTTGAAGCATGTTGGAGCATGTCATATTGGAAAATGACGTGCTCCAATGCAGAGGCTGTCATCGGCGGCGCGATGTTAACCCGGCCTGTCCAGCATTGTCAACACATTCGCGCTTAACGCTCATCGTTGTACTCTGAAAGCGCTCAGCAGGAATTTATGGCTAATTGTGCCTTTAAAGCAGCAGGCGTCCCGCATAGCTGACCTATGACAATTTTATGGATTTCAGTGTTGCGTTTTACATTGAATAGGTTCCCAGGCAATATGAATTTCTTTCCAGGGCGTTTCATCAGCCTACGACAGCGCCAAGAATAAGGTATCTACATTTGCCAGTGACGCTCAAGCGGAGGCGAAAAAGGTGAGCGACAGCTTTGTCCCGGAATTAACGCATGGGTCAAGAGCTCGCTCTCTGAAAGAACGCTGGCTTGTAAGGACTTTCCTTCACATTTTATTTTTCTTCTTATATGAAAAAATGGTTTGAGTGCTCAATTTTTCCCTAACCGGTGTGTATTTCCGTTCGGGTAACGGTTGTCAATCAAGGTTCCCACTGCTGGCTGAAAACGTGGTTGGCCAATACTGGGAGTTTTGAGTGGCTGAACTTCTTCAACAATGAATGTGCTTGAATATCCCTGTTCAGTTCATTTAGTTGGTGCTTCACGCTACTGGAATACTGAAATTGAGTTTTTTAAGTGATTGTCAACCAGTAAGTTTTCTCAGGCGCCGGAACTCCAGTTTAGTTCTGACTTCAAAGACCTTCAGGAGCTTAGTGCGCTTCCTTCCAGTATTGAAACCTTTCTCCATGGGGTCAAACTCCTTCGTGAAAGATTATTATGATTTTATTGGCGGGAACAGAATCAGCTAGCTGAGTGCATTACAGGCTGGCGAGACCACTGCCGATACAGCACATGACGTCGGAGAGAAACTGAAACATACCGCACATGACGTTGCCAGTGCGGGTGATGCAAAGGTGAGCTGCTTTTTTAATTATGTCCTTGTGACATAACTAATTAACGTTATGTTAATTTTTTATTTATCAATACAGCAATAACTTCTAGATATATTCTTCTTGCCATAATCAACAGTTTACAAATTCAACTTTCGCAATAGTTTTTTGTTTACCATGTGTTTTTCCTCCCTTCGGTATTCCAAGTACTCGTTTAAAATCCCATCGTATCTTTTTGTGAATCAAATGTAGCGCCAACAAGATGAATACCTATCAGTGTGGGCACAGCTTGTGAAAACCAACTCGTAGGAGATTCAACTTGCTAAGCAACCATGACAGGTTCCAAGATTTTTTGTGGATTTGAAATTGAATTTGGAAGGATTTACCCATACATGTCCTACCTCCTCTCCACCTCTGAAGAAGACTTATGACTTTACCTGAATGTTCCAAAGTGCTAATACTTTTCTCATACTCTTGACTTCAGTGTGCAAACCCACCAAAAAAACAATTTTCGAAGTTGATTTCACTCTGAAAATTTATGCCCACTAGGCTTCACCCAGTTGGGAACAATTGCACGTCTAGGGATAGGGTAGACGTCGTGCTCACATTTCGCTTTTGTTTTGAAGTGCCATATTTGTTTGGCTTGACAGCTAGAAAAGTAACACTTGTGTAAGATGTCCAAAACTGATATTCAATNCTAATACTTTTCTCATACTCTTGACTTCAGTGTGCAAACCCACCAAAAAAACAATTTTCGAAATTGATTTCACTCTGAAAGCACGTCTAGGGATAGGGTAGACGTCGTGCTCACATTTCGCTTTTGTTTTGAAGTGCCATATTTGTTTGGCTTGACAGCTAGAAAAGTAACACTTGTGTAAGATGTCCAAAACTGATATTCAATAAGTGCATGTATAGCAATGTGCTGTTCTCAATGCCCACTAACGCTCTTTTATAGGGATCAGAATCGCCTGCCGAACCGGAGGTTGGATCGTTAGTGATAGGCGTTTAGTTTTCTTTTCTGATTTTATCTTCTCCTTCATTTACTAGTATTTTCTTTGCTTGATAGAATAGATAGCTTGAATATAGTTTGTAGTAACCTGGAATAGTCAAATAGTAGTGGACTATCTAGCTTATTGCAGTATCCGGCACCACCGGCACCATCGCCCGTACCCGGTGCTGAGGTAGGTCACCCGAATTGGCCTTTTTGTAGCTTAATGTTTTCATAATTTTGGAAACAGTGTGTAAGTGAAAAACGGCAACTGCGAAAAATTGGATACAATTAGGTTCCCAGGACGTTGTCGCCGAATTATCCTATTCTAAAACATTCCTAGAATCTTTCAGTGTCGGAGATTTTGGGTGTGCATGTATGTAGTATGAGATTAATCGATATTGTGCTGTTGCATGAGTAGTTCTTAGCCTTTGTGTGAGTTTAGGTGGAATCAAAAGGCGAGGCGGATGTTTTTAACTATGAGCTCCACAGTTCAAT